CATATGCGTACGTAAATCAACACGTACCCAATAATTATCTAGCCTAACCCAGAAGAAGTAGTGATGAGGGGTCGACATTAACACGTACTAGTGGTCCAATAAGTCAAGTACATTGAAAGTAGACAGGTATGAAGCATGGCAAGTAAAACAGTATATATATATATATATGTACATAACACGATCTTCAATAAAAGAATGAAATTGAGGTCTTCAAAAACCGAGTACTACCTCAAATGGAATACAAATTAGACAACAACAGATAAAACGTCACATTTCAAGTCAGGAAAACTCATTGGTACACTGACTCCTTATCAAAAATTTTGCATGATTCTGTCAAGGCAAATGACCCGATCCTGTAAGAGTAATGCCACGATTTCCTGTCGTGGCATACGGCCCGATCCCAGCCGAGGCGTTCATCCCGATCCGATAATCGTGTACACTGCAGAGAATCGACCGACATGAACCATAGATGCATCTCATAACACCACCATGACGCACAACCCGATCCCACAATGGTACTGATGAGGTGTCCAGCCCGATCCCATAGAAATAGTTAGACTTGACGGGTCATTGGCTCCACTCACGAATATATATAGGATAAAATCTATAAAAAAAAAGGGTATAAGTTCCACAACTAACCAAGTAGCTTGTCTAGTATTTAAGATATCAAGGTTCGATACTTTATACAAGTCAAGTCTCAAGAAAAATATGATAATTAAGACATGTAAATAAGCAAGGATAACTCAATAATATAATTAACGCATGACGTGAGTCTAAATCTACGCGGACCTAATCAGGAATTCTAGTATATGCACGGACTCCTCACCTCATACGTGCATTGCCCCCACAACATTTAACACATATCAAATATAATACCTACGGGTTACATTCCCCCTCACAAGGTTAGACAGGAGACATACCTCGCTCCAAAATCTGATAACCGATTTCAACGCCTCTCTAACACCTCAAACCAACGCCAAACAATCCGAAACTAATCAAACAAAGTGAAAACCAATCAAAATATACATCAATACTCGTAACTTAACAATTTATAATAATTTTCAACTATACTCGAAAAGTCAACAAAGTCAACCCCTCAAGCCCGCGTGCCTGAGTTCTGAAAAATTTCGAAGATAAACATTAGTCATAGCATCAAAAACTAAAATATATAATTTATTCCCAATTCCATGTCCAATTTTGTGGTTAAAACTCAAAAATACCATTTCTAGGTTTTCTTCAAAAATCTTACAATTTCAATAAATTTTTATGTTCAAGTCCATCTATAATTCATATATTTAACTTACAATAAGTGAAAATCACTTACCTTACAATAGATGATGAAAATAACCCTTCAAAGAACGCCGAAAATTGGCCAACCCAAGTGAAAATTGAGAGAAATAAGCTAAGTCCTGTATTAAATCCATGTTCTGCCTAGATCATTCCTCTTCGCGATCACAGAAGTACCCTCGCGATGACAAAGGCAAAACCAGCCTAAGACTATTACATTCCGTGATCGCGTACAGCACCCCGTAATCGCGAAGAGCAACCCTCTAAACGAAACCACCTCGCTAACTCCTCGCATTCGCGACCCTCAGAACGTGAATGCATTGAACAACAAGACCAAGCACCGCGATCGCGAGCCCACCTGTCGCGATGGCGAACAACATCCTTCCCAGCTCCCAAGCAACAATTTGCAATCGCGAGCCTTTCAACGCTATCGCGAAGAACACCCTAGACACCAGAAACTAGCAATCCCAAGTGAAAGGGAAATGGTCAGAAATTATCCCGAAACACACCCGAGGTTCCCGAGACCTTGTCCCATCATACCTACTAGCCCTACTACCTTATCCAAACTTATCCAAGGGCTCGAAATACCACTAATAACTTCAAAACCACGAAACGAAGGTCCAAACCTTCTCCTAACTCTCAAACATTCAAATTTTGCCGAACACGTCCGAATCGCACTTAGACATTTGGATCACACCCAAACTTCACCCACAAGTTCCAGCTAATAAAATGAAGCTATTCAAGGTCCCGGAACACTGCCTGGAGTCCGATAACGCCAAAGTCCATTTTAAGTAAAATTTAGCAAATTCCAAAACCTTCAAAATGCAAACTTCCAATAACAAACTCATAAGTTAAGGACACTTGGTCCTGAACTTTATGAGTAGAAGGGTATTTTTGTCCGGACAGGTAAAATTTTATTAAAGCAGTGGTTAAAGACTAAAGACATTTTAAACAGTGGCTTAAAAGTAAAAATATGTCTTATTACTGGCTAACTTGCGCTTCCCCCTTTACATGACGCGCACATGACATTTCAACTTGTCATAGTTCGTGCAAATAACATAAATGGATATATTACCAATTACCACATAAATGGATGTTGTCACAATATGACATTCTCTATCTATAAGCAATTCCCAGAACCAAAAAAATATATATCTATAGGCCGTACTAATTGCCAAAGAATTTAAGTTATAAACATCGGTAGGAACTTTTTACACCGTCAGGTCATCCAAAAAATATCTATAGGTAAGCCTTCTTAAAATGTGAAATTTATAATTTAAAAATAGAATAGGTTACCTGTAAATATAACATCATGATATAGTCTTATACCGATAGTATATACAACTTAAACTCATTGCCAAGTGGTGCAATTTGGTTAGTCTTTTGGTGTATAAATTGGGGTACAACCCCGACTTAGCCAATTTATATTAGGGGGAATGACACAGTTACCCACAAAAATAAAACTATTTACCCTTATCTACCCATTTACTTTTCTACCCATCAAACTAATTACATTTCCTACCCATAGTAGTTTTGGTGGGGAATTTTCTCTTTTTCTCCAATTCTTTTTTATTTCTATGCTTCTTTTCTTTTTTTCCTTTTTTTCTTTCTTTTCTCCTTTTCTTTTTTCTCGTTTTCTTCTTATTTTTTCTTTTTTCTCTTTTATTCATTTATTTTTGCCCAAATCGTATTATTGTTATTTTTACCATAACTTACTTCACACTCAAATTTGACTCCTTCTTTATTTTATTATTTTTTTTTATTTCTTGTTCCTTTTCTAATTCCATATGATTGCCATGCAAACCTTGATCTCCTTCCCTACAAATATCAGTACACACTCTACCATTAGCAATAACACTACCAGTTATGGAGCAAGAAAACATAATCTACGGCCACCAAATCTCCATATATACTAGTTAGAATAGAAATGATAATAAAATATTAAGAAATGCAATAAAAATATAAGTAGCAAAAAAGACTTCTAGTACCATACGATACCAATATGGTATACATGTATACCAGCAGAGTATATGATTGCTCTAGGATATTGCTACAACTATCTGTGACTATGCTACTGTACCAAAATATTAAAGGATGCAATAAAAGTATGAGAAAATTACATGCTTCCATTGCAAGCTAAATATTCGCAAGCAACTTGCTCATTCCGTATACTAACAGGGTATATAGTTGTATGGGGTCGTTCGAACAATTTCCTATAACTAAAGAAAAATCAAATAGTGCACCATTAAATGTAGCTAATACAACCAAAAAATATTCCAACTAACATATGATACCAGTACAGTATATAGGCTATATATAATATAGCTATACCAACAGGGTATACAATTGTACGTAAAGGGTTTAAAAAAAATTTAATTCATTTTAAACTGAAATAATATCGGTTATCAATAAAAAATTTAAAATTTCCAAAAGGACCTAACTGTGAGAGTATGCTGTTACATTATATAGTATACTATAATAGTATATCATTAGAATGAACTTTATACTAAAATGGTATATAGTATATCATTTTGGTATACAATACAAATTCTTCTTCGTCAGTTCAACGCAATAAATTATACACTATTGAATTAACAAAAATGGTATATAATATATTATTTTGGTATATAAAGGATTGGTTCAGTCCTTCAAAAAAAAAAGTAGTATACTATTGTAGTTAATTATATACTCTTGAATTAATTATTATATACCAATAGAGTATACAATATACCATTATGATATACAGTACAAATCTGTCTTCTTTGCTATTTCAACTCAATTTCAACCCAAAATTTAAAAATTTACTCTAAAATATCCAAATTGACTCAGAATATAGCCACTTCCTCCAACTAATATTTCGAACATACCCGGTCAGAATCGGATCAGAATAACCACAAACTCAACAAACCCAATTTATAAGTTTCAAGCTTCAAGATCCTCCAATAGCAGATTAATGTTTGTCACAATTAAATCTTCAAAAAAAATCATCATTAACACCAAAACTTGCCACAAAGAGCCTCCGCAATTAAAATTAGTTATTACATACATAACCTCACAAATTTATAGCAAACTCAAATCTTAGAAATTTTTATCCTTTTTTTGATTGATCTTTTTTAGCTTTTTTTTTGCTGGGACAAATGATAAAAATAGGAGAGAGAGGTAGATAGACCATATATCTAATGAAAAATTGTAGGGATATTGGCAAAAGGAAAGAAAGAGAAAGAGCGGGGAAAATGATAAGAGAAGAAAGCAAAAAGGAGGAGAAAAATTAGCTTTAACAAGAACAAAACAGGAAAAAGGATTAACGGGGAATTACTTTTGGTTGCATAGGTATATATTGTAATTATTTCTAGAATAGGTAAAGACGGGTAATTATTTTGGGTAGAATAGGTATATAGCATAATTTGCTCTTTATAGTCATTCTCAGGGATGCTATTTAGGGATTAGCCAGTACTTATTTTTGTCCTGAAATTTTAAACTAAAAATCTTAAATTCAGGACAACTGAAGACATTTTTGTCCCGAAAAATTAGAATTCAAGACGCACTGGCTAATTATTAAATACACCCCTTTAGAGTGTCTATCTGTTGTCAGTTCAACCTCTTTCTTTGCAAGAACCTTTGGATCAAATGAAGTGGACACCAAATTGGGGCTACCTTTGATTGATTTGTATCATTACTTCTAATGAGGCCCAACTTATCCCTGTCCATAAAACTCATATAATAATCACAAGTAAACACAAGAAATGAGCATCAAAGCAAAAACCAGTATTCACCAAAACTAGAAGAATTCCGAGCTATGGCCTCAGCAATGTTGAAGAGAACAACAATGATAAAGTCAATGGTTCAAAGCCTGAGATCCTATGCTTCTGTTTCTGTAGGTACTGATCTCACAGTAGCTGCACCAAATGTTTCACTACAAAAGGCTCGATCTTGGGATGAAGGTGTCTCCTCTAAATTCTCTACTACTCCCGTCAAAGATATTTTCAAGGTAATGATAAATATAATAACACCCCCTTTTAAAAATTTCATCTTTTTGTCTAATTTATATTACCCTTTTCTTATTTCTTCAACTTTTTTTAGGGTTCTTGATTTCTGACTATGTTGTATTTTTTTGGTGTTCAGGGTAAAAAAGTTGTAATCTTTGGCCTTCCTGTAAGTTCACTTTCCCTTATATATTGCAATTGATTTTGAATTAGTTCTATGGTAATTAGTAATTCTCATTTCTTGGCTTAGCTGTAGTTTTTACATAAAAACTTTTGTACGTGGGGTTTTCAAATTATGAGAATTTTGTTTGTCTAATATAAGAATTCACGCAAAGGGGGAAAATCCTCCCTTTCATTGGGATTTAATAGGTAAAAAGGTCCTAATAGGAAATTAACAACTGCTGCTACTACTACGCCGCAATCCCTAACAAATTGGGTGGAGTATATAAATCCTCACTCACTGACCATGTAGCTCCATTTAATCTTAGTGAGAAATCAAATTGGTAATTTTTTTTAACTTTCAGTACAGATAATAAATTGTTCTTTTGTACTTCCAATACAAAGTCCTAAATCGAGATGGTATTTGATGGCTAAACTGCAGAGAGCAGCTTCATTTGTGTTTTATCTTCCTGGGACTACAAATGAATACTGCTACGACTTATGCAAGTCATATTCAAAATAGTTTAATCTTGTTAACCCCAATTGTTGCATACAACTAAATTAATATTGCCACCTGGTTGGTGCACATATTTTCTTCTCGAGGAATGATAAATCGTGACACAAATTTAATACAATTATGTGATCTGAATTATAGACAAAGGGGTTTGCCTTGTCTGCAATAGAAGATTGAATAAAATGACACTATGAAATGGATCGAAAATTGAATAAAATGACTCTAAGAAATGATGAATGGAAGAAAAGCTTCATGTTTCCTTTGATGTTTGTGGTGGGGACATTGTCTCATAAGAGGTCTTCTTGCATAAGCAATTGTATCGAGCCATTTGTTTAATATCTGGTTTTCTTAGTTTTATATTCTCCTAAAGATGTTACAATTTCCAGGGTGCATACACTGGAGTTTGTTCAATGCAACATGTACCTAGCTACAAGAATAACATTGATAAGTTCAAGGCCAAAGGAATCGACTCTGTGATTTGTGTTGCTGTGAACGATCCGTATGTTATGAATGGTTGGGCAGAAAAGCTACAAGCCAAAGAAGCTGTAAGTTACTCTGCTATCCCTTGTCATCCTGTCATTTCCTTTAAGCAAATGTAACCTTCACTAGTTACTACTTGAACTTTCTGCCGTCCTTGGAAGACTTGAAGGACTTATTTCCACTCAGTTGTCAGCATAAGTAAATCAACTCTATCAATCATGTTACTTGTGTAGGGAGCTGAAGAAGTTTAATCTATCCCTTTTGGTAAGAATTGGAATGGCAAGACGTTTTTTCCCAAGGACTTTGGTTTGGTGGTAATAGAGAAGACTTTGGTTTGGTGGTAATAGAGAAGATAGTGATGTATAGGTTAGGCGCATGTTATGAGTTTGACCCCTACTGTAGACTAATAATAGTGTGGTATTTAAGTAGAGAAGGGTAGAGGATGGACCCAATATTCAACGTGTTTCAAACTGTGTGTCAACTGGTCCTCGGGATTCTCGGTTATGAGGGGGTGTAGGGGGGAGGGGGGTTGGTCAAAGAGGGATGTGGAGCAGATCTTACTTTCAAGCAACATAAATGTTGGAGGACAGTTGACTCGTAAAAAAATTAAGTATATCTGATTGGCTGGAGCAGTGGAAAGGAAGGAAATAATACTAGCATTCCTCTACATGTTCAATGATATTGACTCTGACCATATGCTAATATATTCCAACTGAAGCTCAAATTTGCTCCATGGAGCTGGAAATTTATGTAGGTGGGCAGATCAAGGATGACATAATTCATAAACTGTATGAAGGATCAAAAAGACAAAGCCCAATATTGTCAATTGTTATGGCTTTATTGTTAACTCTGATTGACTGAGCTTGGATAGTGATAATTAGTAACAGAGATATGGTAGATAGTCAGAGAGATGAATGATTGAGATTCTCGTGATCGTGTTACTTAGACATGTCACCTTGTTTAATGACTTTTATTACTCAAATGCCGTTCTGATTATTAGTTGATGTTGCATTTATTGAACTTCTTGAAATTTATGGGTAATTTGATAGCACTATAGATGTCAGAAGGTGGTCTCTTAGCTGTTCCTTAATGTTGATAATACCTTTGATAGTTCTTAACTTCTTATACTAGCTCTAACAATGAGGATGAGTGTGGTTGACTGAATACTATTCGTATGATGCAGATTGAGTTTTATGGTGATTTTGATGGAAGCTTCCACAAGAATTTGGACTTAACAATTGATCTCTCTGCTGCTTTGCTTGGACCTCGATCTCACAGGTTATGAGTCAATGTTTTAAGATCATCACTTGTCAATTCACTACTTCGTCATGGCTAATTAACTAAAATTTCTACATCCAACATTTGTCAATGTAAAAATTGATAATCCCAGTGAAATGTGTAGGAGTCAACATTTGCAGTAAGCTTAACTAGTTTAAATTAAGCCCTGAAGTGACATTTCATCCATTGCTTTATATTATGACGATGTGTACGTGTACAAAATAAAACATATTGACATACATATCCTTTCTCCAACTAAGGGTCTATCAGAAACAACATTTTTGCCCTTCCAGGGTAGGGGTAAGTTTGCGTACATCTTACCCTCCCCAGACCCTACTTGTGGCAACTCTCTTGGTTTGTTGTTGTTATTGTTGTTGTATATATACATTAACATCATAACATGTGAGTCTCTGTTTGTGTGTGAAATGTGCAAAAGTTTAACAAGTTTAAATTACGCCTTGCATATATATTGTGTAAAAATTGTGCTTGGGAACTATAGATTCTAAATCCTGGATGTGTTTTTATTAATGAACATTGTTGTTTGTGCGTAGGTGGTCAGCGTATGTGGATGATGGGAATGTGAAGGTTCTGAATGTTGAAGAAGCTCCTTCTGACTTCAAGGTTTCTGGCGGAGACGTTATCTTGGGACAGATCTAGAGACTTGCTTCTGCTGCATGTTTGTAGTTCTAAACACCTTGTTTCTCCATTGCACGTTGTAATTTCGGTTAATAAAATGTATTAACCTAACAATTTAATTTGAGCTATATTCAGTTTCCACGTCTGGCACATTGTTAATCCATGAAAATATCTACTACTATTTGTTTATTGTTTTGCTTTCCTTTCTTGGGTCCAAGATTGTTACGTGTAGATTTGTCGGGATAATTACAAAGAACAGTCTTAAGACTTTGGATCCGTCCTCTAGTGGAGTATATCTTATTTATTACCTGTTCTTTGACTCTCAAATTTGTACTTCTATTTCATTGTTTGAAGATTGATTTCCGACTTAAATCTGATAGATTAGCTCATTTTCTGAATATAAAACTTTTACTGTTCAAAGGTGGCAAGAATTTTGGATTGAGTTTTATCGCACACTAGTAAATAGGTGAATTGAGCTATGGGCACAAGTAATTAGGTGGTTGCTGTATCAGGCACTAATACTTGGCGGTTACGCACAAGAGGGGATTTAGTTGTTTTTAGCCATTAAAAGAAATGCAACATTGAGCATTCAGCCATGAAACTCTTATACTGATTACAACTTTTTCGAATATTTAATATATTATATGAAGTGTTACGAACTTTCAAATAATTACGATCAGTATTCAATCGAGGATACATTATAAGCGACATGGGAGTGAATAGTTCTTCCTAAACGAAAATTCTCTTCGCACACACTATATAATTATTTGAGAGTTCTAAAAAAGAGAAAAGAGAAAAAGAAAAAGTGCAAATTAGGGCAAAATAGCTGAACTGTGGGCTTGTGTTGGGCTGTTCATGGACTTTTAAAAACAGGAAAAAATGGCATGGTATGACAACACATAAAGACAATTGACAATTTTTTAGCCTTACATTAGGTTTGGCAACATAAGTCCAAAAAAATTAGCATCTAATAACCAAAATCATTTTCCTTAAAATTAGCAAAAGAAAACATTAAGAAGCCTCTTTGAAGAACACAAAAGAACCAGTAACTCGATTAGACAAAAAAGGGATGCAATTGTAGCTTGGAGCAAAAAGCCCAAAAACATGTCGAAAACTCGGGGAAGGAAAAAGAGATTTCCGTTGCCGGGACTTGAACCCGGGTCTCTCGGGTGAGAGCCGAGTATCCTGACCAACTAGACTACAACGGAGCTGTTATTTATATTAGAACAAAGAATAATAGATAACTGTACTAGATTTTTGTTTACAACCAAAGGAGGTCCAATTTAATGTGAGTCAGTATCTTCTCCTATTCTTTGCATTCCGAAGATTACTTTTGGCTTATGCCAATTATATCATAAAATAATTAGTGTAATAGTGAAGGTTACAATGAATGTGTTTCAAGTTTTAATAACCTTCTCACTACCTCACATGAATTCTGTGTTAAAAAGACCGCAGAAACCAAGTACTGCATTCAACTGATTTTCAGGTTCCTAATAGAAAAATGGCAATAATAAGAGCAGAGAAATGAGTTACATGTCCGACGTTAGAGAAGTTTCATTTGTTGTTTGCCTGTTATGACGCGTTTAGACGTCAGTTAGCACATGGATGTGAGTATCAAAGACATCTAGCATCCACTTCCATCAGAAATGGAGGTCTCTTTAGTCTGTCACAAGAAAACTCAACTTGTAAATGACAAGAAGTTGTGAAGCCTTAGAATCCTCATTACAGAGGCCTGCTGACAAGCTTCGTTTGAACTTACTTTTACTGATAAAGCATGTTCCTTTCTCTGTATGATTTAAAAGAAGATAAGAAAACGTGGGTTAAGTAGTGAAAGGTGGAATCCGATCCCTCAACCTTTTCTTAATGTTTACTCTTTTCTTATTCTTTGTATAAGCTACAACAGCGAAAAGCAGAATTTAGAAGAAAATATAGCCACCGTAAAGAAGAATGAAGGATAGTCCATAAGACATCCACTCTTGAATATCCATTAAGGTAATGGACATGGTTATAAATTACACAAGCTTATCAGTCTTCCTGTCCTACAGGTTTAGTAAAGAGAACAGATCATGAGACCTTAAGCACAAACTGTAATTTCTTCAGCAGCATATCAATCTCCAGGTTTCACACAGTAACTGCAGGACGCAAGTCAATCACCTACTGTGATAACTGACCTTTAGAACGTACGTCACTTGCAGATTTTGGATTATGCTAATAAGTAGATAGCAGAGACAAAGAGGACCATAATCAGGCACCATTTATTCTTGACTTCAACAGGGTTGCAGCATCAGTTTGCGTTCTGAGGAAAAAGAAGGGAAAGAAACAATTAAACAATGGAAAGAGCTCATTTCAAAAGCAAAGAGAACCATCGAGATGGATTGTTTAAATAAATTCTTTTGGTAATCCTCCAATCCTAACCTCATGTTATAGTTGCTTCACAAACCTTACTAGTTTGATGAGATAAGGAGAAGAAGCTGAACAGTAACTTCCAAATGATCGATTTGATTTGTTTGTAATTTTAATGAGACTTGTCGAAGACAATTAAATAAATAAAGGTTTCTGTAATAGCTTAAATTTTTAGATAAGGTGTTAATGCAATTCAACGTGGTATCAAAGTAAAATGTGACCTTAGGTTCAAGTTTTATTGCAATCCTTCATCAAAAAGTATTTACACAAACTTGATCTCAAAATAAGAATCAGCACTCAGGTGAATGCGAAGACAATTTTTTAGTAAAATAAATATGTTTTTTCTAACAGTTCAAGTTTCTGAGTGAGGTGGTACAATCCGGCAAGATCCATTATTCCTTTTCCTATTGAGCACATAAGGACAGATGGAATAAGAAATGTCATCGGAGAAATCTTTCTAACACATCGCACTATGAAAAACTAAATTAAAATGTAGCAGTAGTTCTGGTAGGAGAACAAGTGAAACATGGAAATATAAAGGAACAAGCATAGGAAGCACGAGCACCTAAAATCCTATCTATGGACTACTGTCTCAGATACTGAACATCCTTAACACCCTCAGATTCATATTCCTGCCTCGCTTTTAATCGTTTCGCAAATCCAGAGGCAGATCTAGGATTTGAATATTAATGGGTTCGAGTTCGAGACTCTACCACCACCCAATTGATTTACCGGATTCGAACCCCCTTGGAGTGCGGCCCTTCCCCGGATCCTGCGTGAACGCAGGATGCTGGAATCTATTATTTGTACTTATTTAGTGGATTTTTAAACACATATACAAGGTTCGAGCCAAAGCTACTGGGTTTGGATGAACCCATGAGTTGTACGGAGATCCGCCCCTGCCCAAATCCAACCACATTCCTACTGTGTTGACGCAAATCTTTTATTTAATTCCTTCTTCCTTTTCATATAAATATGGCCCGGCCGCGTAAAGGGAAACGTTTTGTAAGGCGTAAAAAGTATATCTCCACTTGCCTGCCTGTAAACTTGATTTTTCTAATTTTCAAGAGAGAAAAGGAAATAAATAAGGTGGCCTATATACAAACAAAAAAATAAGGTCGTCTGTGATGTATTCTATTTAGGCAATGTTGTTTTAGATTCTGAGTCAACAATTCTGTAGTTGCACGCAAGTAATTTTATATTCAATCGGAAAAAATACAAGCAGATTAGGCTTCCAAGTTTGGTTTTCTGTTTAAAGGCAATCAAAAATCCAGCAGAAACTATGGATAACAAATGGAAGAGCAAATTGGCAACATCAGGGATGATGAACATGGAAACAAGTAAAGCTTCATAATTATTCAAGATATAGTTGAACCAACTACAAACCTGTCTAAGAGAAATTTCCATTTGGCCAGTGTTGGTATTGGAGATCAATGAGGGAGCGGTAGGAGTTACTTCAATTGTAGAATTCTTTATGCAACCATCATGCAATTGAAATGTCACATTTCCTTGCTCACACACTCCTCTACTAGGAAAGTTTGAGGTACCCATGGTACATGCAGATAATGGTTCAGAAGCTCCTGTACGTTTTGAAGTAAGATCAAGTCGTTCAATCATTCTTGTAACGCCAGCTATTCCAGCACTCATCTCACGCTGAACTTCTTTGCCAAAATCCTTGACAGAGGTGTTGCGTGATAATAACTTTTCCTTAAAACCACGAGTACCTTTTGAGATTGATTCCTTATACCTGTTGAAACAGAAACAATAGCTTCAGGGGCAAAATAAAAATAGCTTTCAAGGGAAACACAAAATTAGAGTTCCTTACCTCGCTGAAGCAGCAGACCATTTCGATTTTATAGATTCAGAAAATGCAAGAAACTCAGATGAGCTTGATCCCTGGGGGCCATAAGTTGGCGGTTGGCTGAAAGGATTCCAACAAGTAACCAAATAGTGAGGCATAATTCAAATCAAATAAAGGTAAAAATGGAGTAGTGCTGCCACAATTACATTGCACTCAGTAACCACATTGAGGATTAAGAGAGAACGCATATTATGGATTTTAATTTTTAGGTGACTTAGTTTCATTAAGCTTTCGATTTATTTATCGGGATTTATAGTTCTCAATCATACCTAAGCTTAAAAGGACCATTTCCATGGGGAGGAACTGATGATGATGCAGGCCCAATACTAGATGAAGTTGCAGAAGCAGCAGATCCATCTCCAGTAAACCCAAAGCCTCGGGGCTGTACGGTGGATTCACTATTCTGTGTCTGGTTTGACCTAACTCCTACTGGCACAGAAGGGACGACCTGTGTAGGACCAATTCCTGATGAAGCCTGTCTTCTCCTTCTGTTGACAAGACGGACTCTACTTGTCGCAGCAGCAAAATGTCGCATGATTCGCTCCTCAAAATCAGAATCATTCTGCTGAGGGGCATCCTGGAAACACTAAGGCTCTAACTCAGTATAAATGAAGCTAAATTTAGTGGAAAGAAATGCAGAAGCCAATTCCAAGTTTAGAAATGTCACCCACATGGTTGGTTTCAACGTCTTCGTTGGTATGACGCACATTAATCCTTGACCTCATGTTCCTTTCAATCTCCACTGCAGCTAGTAGCTCTTGGCTGGAGGCAAAATTTATTTAATGGAGATCATCACAAAAGAGGGAAATAAATACACAGCAATGAGGTATCAGTCAGAATGCTGGCTCTTAAACAATATGAATTCTGAATTAAAAAATATGAAGTTCCTTGGAGAAAAAATAAAATAACATATGTAATTCTGGCTGCAGCTAGCAGTTTTTGGCCGCAGCCAAAAGTTTAATTCGGATACTAGAACGAGGAAACTACATAAACAATACACCAATTCCATGAGAAAGTCAATGGTTGATTCTTATACAGTTGTGTTCTTAGCCATAGAATTTTTCGAATACCTTGCAGGGTCCTTCAGCGCAAGAACCCTCCAACAAATTGGGCACTCCTTGCTTCTCTGAGACCTGAACAGAATATACAAGATGTTCATTGAGCACATCGATCAAGACAATGGTGGTTAAAATGAGCACATAATAACAAATTTCGTATGTACCATTCAAGAATACACTGCAAATGATACTCATGCTTACAATCTGTTACCTGAAAGAAAACAAGAAATTAAGAAACTTGGATAAATGCATATAATAAGGCATAAAAAGGAATTTCCACAAGAATCAAAAGAAGACATCACCATGAGACAACAAAAACTTTGCAACATCACTTTGATACATACTGAAGAAAACTGTCAAATAAGTTTTTGGAAAAGGCCATTCAAACTAGTTCACAAAGTACATATAGTTGGGAAAATTAGAAAAACCTTAAAGCCCATAGGAATTCGTTCAAGTCGCAAAAGATTGAGGGATTTGTGACTTAAGTCATAGGTTCGAGCCCTGCGCCATGCGATCTAAGCTTGGTATTTAAGTGGAGAAGGGCTAAGGGAGGGGCCTATTATCCCCCAAGTTTCAAAGGCTGTAGTGGGTCCTAAGGGTTGGTCCCAGACGAATTTCAACGTCATAAGAAAAATCCTAACAAATCAATTAATAGTATTATTTTCCATTGGGTCTGACCAAACTTTGCATATATCCGATCTTTTTCCTTCTTTTTTATGACATACTTAAAAAGGAACAAAAAGAAAATGAGGATCTATCGGAAACAACCCCTCTACCTCACACGAGGTAGAGGTAAGGTATGCATACATCCCACCCTTCCAAGACCTCACTTGTGGGATCACATTGGGTATTATCGTTGTTGTTGTTCTGACCAAACATTGGACCATACTGAATGAAAAACAAATGTTAGATGGGTGTATCAGCAGAGAAACTATGCCCACCATACTCCTTTTGTTGAGATGCTAAGGAAAAAATTAATAATAATAATAAGGCCACTATACTCCAAAGCTTACTATAAGAACAAGCACTTCTAAACCATAACCAAGATCTAAACCATACTACGAATTCATGTATATTCTAAACCATAACTAAGATCTAAATCATACCACGAATTCATGCATACTTATTTACATTTCTAATGTCCAGTAGATTACATTATCATTGTGCAAATCCTAATATAACAGGGGGCTAATAAAATAGTCCAGACATTAGAAAAAGGTTCAGTTTTTATTAGAAGAATAAGATAGACATCGGTGCACATAAAGAAAGTTATCGAAATTATTTCCATTTAGAAGGGGGAAAAACCACATATTAGATTTTCAATGTAACAAAGACAACCGACTGATCAAACCAATAAAGACATACATGAGTAACAATATGTCACACTAATCAATAATTAAACAACAAAATCCAAACTTTTTCTTATTTTTTTCCCCTATTTTTCTTTGCTAAAAAGTTGTCGGAACTTCCAAGGCTTGAAATTACACACTGATAGTACTCTGCCATTCAAACCACCGGACATTGGAATCATCTAACATCTCCTTAATAAACAGAAAAGCCTCAACTTTACGCAATATATAGCATTTTTTTATATAAAACAGAAAATGCATTTAAAAAAAAAGGAGAAGATGAAAATGCTACAGGCAGAAAATTTCCTAACTTCTAATAAGTATCTAGTTTTAGCCAAAAACCAAAAAAAAACGTATCAAAAACAGGAGGCGATGAATGGAGATAGCATACAGCAGGAAGGATCATCAGAGTAAACAGCTCAAGGAAAATGCTAAAAACAGAAGGGGGAAAAAACTAACTTATACGCAATATATAGAATCTATTTTTAGCAACAATAAAAAAACAAAAACAAAAATGCATAAAAAACAGGAGCGAAGCATACAGCAGGAGGATCATCGGAGTTAAATGGCTCAAGGCAGATACTACAGGCATCCTCAAAGCTATCATCAACAACGGCCGGCGACGCGATCATCGGCGGCGAGTTAAACGAATCGTTGGCCATGAAATTCAGCTTAGCACTGTAACAATCAAAATGTAAGTATATAGAGACAAATGTATGTATAAATATATTTAGAGAGAGAGAGAGAGAGAGAGAGAGAGAGAGAGAGAGAGAGAGAGAGTACGGAGAGAGGGAAAGCAGAAAGGTTAGGGGGAAATGTGGAGAATAAAGTATAAAAGAAGAAGGAAGGAAGATGAAAGAAATAGAAATAGAAATAGTAGTTACTAAAACGAAATCCTAGAAAAGTGTAGGCTGTAGAGAGAGAAAGCGTGTAAAAAGGTCAAAAGAAAAGAATTATGGGTGAGAGATTGGAAAACAATCCGATCTATATTCACACGGTTGTTGGAATCAATCAACTCTTCTACCTTTTTTTACCCAAAAAAAAAAAGAGTTAAATTTTCAGTCTTGGTTTTATTGAAAAATAACTAAATATTAGTATTACTAATTATTAATTATTTTGATTAAGAAATATGAGGGTGAGGGGGTCTGTGTTGACTCTTCTTGTCCCACACAACTTGATTGAATTTTTTTTCTCCATCTCAAAATCAACAATGACGTACTACTAAAGAGCGAGAGTCAAGTCTACTTTGGACTTTAATTTTTCTAGAAAATTTAATATTATTTTCATGCTCTCGACCTGCATAAAGGTACTGCTATGTTCCATAATTTAAAATTTAAAAATGCATGAAATTGTATCAGAAAGAGTGTACGTATGGTGCTCTAACTATTTAATTATTTGATGAAATCATTATTTGGAATGGCTTCCTTGCACCTTAATTATTGTTGTCATTATTATTTATTATTATTATTATTATTATATTATAAAATCCTATCGTTTTAAAATTGTAATTGAACCAATCCTTTAAATGAATAATAGATAAGAGGGGTAGAGCAAATCTTAGTCATCCTTTTAGTGGGTCGTGCCGACCTCACTTATCATGTTTAATTTTTAATATCGTAAGTGGTATCAATATTGAGTTACAACTTTTAGTTGCTTAAGAGTACACCAAATGGAATACGACAATTAATATTTTGATGATGAAATAATTACACATAAAGTATTATTGCATTGATGTATTTACAATTATTTGTTGACACGGTAGCAAGAGAAGTTGACACAACTATTTATGATTGTTGTAGTACATTTTTTTTTTGTTAAAATCATATATTTGTGTAGCTAAAAAATAATATTCATGTTTCACTTGATTAAAATAGCTCAAATTATATGAGGTGTTGTTTGGTTGGGGAAAGTTATCTCTGGAAATGAGATAATAACCATATATATATTTATTGATAATTACTTTATTGTCTCACTAGTACATGAAGAGATACTTTAGAACTTAAGATCTAAATGAGAAAATCTCACTTTATACCTATTAATTCCAAATTACTTACCCTTTAATGTTCAGACTCAAACTATTTACTACTCCTATCCATTCTCCCCAAACTATTTAACCGCTAGTTGTTCCAGAGTCAAGGCTTCAATCACAAAAAGCTTAGCTTTACTAAAATAAAGATTGGATACAGACTCTCTCTGAATATTCACTGTTATGTACAAGAGAATTTTAGCATACGAAGGTGACCAACTGATAACCGCAATCGAGGTTGTTTGAAAAACTTGAACTAGGCTCTGGCTCCTTCCTCCTTTCTCTAATTGAGTAGTTTTCATGAACCATGCGATCAGAATTACATGTGGACAAAACTTACAAAGCCATGGTTTGGATACTTCATTAAGTACAAGAGCAGATTACATCCCAAATCTAAATTTTTGTGTGTATGTGAATATCCACCATTGTTGGGCTTGAAGCTCAATTTTATTTTTGAAGATTTTTTGTTTGATTCAAAGTGGGTGCTGTTAAATATTGCTTATAGTACCTTCTAGAAGTTCATACTGAAATTTGATAGCATTTGGACCTGATTTGAGGTGATTGAGATCGAAATTTTCAGTTGAAAATCGAAAGAAGAACACAGCTACAGTATACCACTACGGTATACAATATGCGGTAGGAGTATATAGCTATACTGCAACAGTACACTATTATAATTTACAAAACAGTATACCGCTACAGTATACTAATATACTATAGGAGTATATAGTTATACTACAACAGTATACCATTATAGTATACAATATATTGTTATGGTATACTGTAACAATATGCAAGATAATGTAACAATATGCTATAATAGTATACAATATATTATAATAGTAATTCACTTGCCTTTTCCCTTTTAATTTGTTTTAAGCTTTTACCCAGCGTGAGGGGCAAATTGAAAATGCAAAAAAAAAAATTATAGTATGCTATATGATGTAACAGTATACTCTTACAATTAGATCCTTTTAGAATTTTTTAAATTTTTTATTGACAACTGATATTATTTTAGTTTAATAATTAAATTAATTTTTTTAACTCATTGCGTACAATTGTATACTCTGTTGGTATAGCTATATACTATACTGGTATCATATGTTAGTTAATATTTTTTTGGTTGTATTAGCTACATTTAATTGGTACACAATTTGATTTTTCTTTAGTAATAATATAAAAAAAGAATAATAAAAAAATAGTAAAAACAGTAAATGAAATTAGATTATGAAGAGAAAAAGAATATAAAAAAAAGAAGTTAAATGAAATTAGAAAAGGAAAAAGAAAAAAATAAGAAGAAAACGAGAAAAAAGAAAAGGAGAAAAGAAAAAAAAAGAAAAAAGAAAAGGAGAAAATAAGCATAGAAATAAAAAAGAATTGGAGAATAAAAAAAAAATTCCCCACAAAACCTACTATGGGTAGGAACTAATGTAATTAGTTTATGGGTAGGAAAACAAATGGGTAGACAAGGATAAATAGTTTTGTTTTTGTGGATAACTGTGTCAAAACCCCGACCTAAAACTAGCACTATTCGTGTAGCTCATTTATCAAATAATTTTCAAAAGGGGTTATTTCGGATGCATATCTAGTTATCTACATTTTCAAGGTTAATATAATGGTTATAGACTTAATTATAGTCACCTATATTAATTTAAAGAATTTCAAATTTGATCTTTTTGTCAACTATGTGTAGCTAACTTCTAGAATCTGGAAATGACAAAGGTGAAAATAATCAAACACGAGCATGTTGAAAACATTAAAACCATAAGAAATCTCTATCTGTACTATTTCAATTTCGTCTTAATATAGGATGAACAAGTCTTAATAAATCAAGCAAAAATAAGAACAACTTTAGTAATAGAAAAAATTCGTATATAGAATTCATGGTGAGCATAAGAGATGCAAAAAATTGAATATTGTATACTGTAAGCATTTAAATTAAAATAGTATAATATTTGTCTAGAACGACATACTTTAATATGTAAATCAAAGACTAACCAAAAACATCAACCCCTCATTTGAAAAATAAAAACTTGTCATTGTTTCTTTAACAATTACATATGCTTCACCGACTTTATATATTTTTGTAGTAACTGACAAAGAAATTTTTATAAATTGGAAAAGGAAAAATTAAAAGTTCGACTTCTAATAATTTCAAATATTCCACTAAATTAATGTAGTCACTCTTTACATATTACAAAATGATCGGTGATCACGCCCAACTCTAGTTCTAAAAAGGATAAGCGGTCGCTGCAAATATAATCCGGTCTAAGAGTCCGGAGTCGAATCCCATAGAAAACTAAGGTTTAGCTACAGCTGTTCACTATCACCAAGAAGACAAGCTTGAACAATTCTTAAGTTAATAAAATTAAGTTCTTATGTCTAACTAATTAACTAGCAAAAAAAAATAGTAAATTAACAACTAAAGATACTAAAGGTTGGAGACAAGATTAAGGAGGTCTAGGTTATGATTTTTCCAATTGTCGGAATCTTTTTCGCTACGTCTTCTATAATTTCGCCTAATTATTCTCCACTAATCGTGAGCACTTCAGGTGTCGTAATTCTCTCTCGAGAAACTACAGCAATTTACTAGACATATTCTTCCGACTACGCTAGCTGGCACAATCTTACCGCTTACTATGACCACATCAAGGCTTTATTATTCCTAAACCCACCATTAAACCGGCCGTATTGATTCCTCATATACGTTAGGAGTGACATTGTTCAACAACTACCTAAATATGTACCCTTTCCCAAGCAATACATAATAAATAGGCACAGTCAATTGATGGTCATTCAATCAACAGAAATAAGCATGTAGTTGAACAAGTAAAAAAATTCAAAGGCTAAATTATATTCATACTTAACAAGAATTCATCCTCCAAAAGGTTACATCAAAACCCTAAATAATAAATTAGTTACTCATAGTAGTATGTGAAAATAAAATACTAAAATTCATAACCAACAATAGAAAACAGGAAGAAGAAAGAAAAAACTTGTGGTTGAATCTTCCTCTTTGCTCCTAGTGTATTCTTGCCTCCAAAGATGTTGTGTAACCTTAAAGTAGTGTCTGCTCCTACAAAGTTATGTTTTAGGATGTATTTATATGACCTAGGTAGGGTGGAGGGTCCTCCAATACAATCCAATCTCGAATAGGAAAGCTGGAATCCGTGTCTGCCTTCGCGCATTGCGCGCCCATGGACGCGGACTCAGCTTTTGCAATTTTCCATTCGCGAAGCGATCCGTGCCTTCGCTTCACTTCGCTGTTTTGTGCCTTCAGTTTTTTCCTTTTTCGCGTCCTTTTTTGTTCCACGCACGAGATGGGACGAGCTCCCAATTCTTTCCATCTCTTCCTTTTTGTGTCAAATTGTCATCTTTTGATCATTTATCATCCAAACTCGTTCGTCCTCGAGCAACTTAAAGTTAAGCATGTCGGCAAGTGCACTTTTCAAAACATACTCAAGCATCCTACCGGTGACAATGGTTTATATTAATGCTTAGAACCTAGCATAAGCACTATTTATACTTTTCCTCAAGGTTTAAAATGATGCCAAGACTATTTCAAATATTTGTGTGACTCTTTCTAACTTCCTAGTCTTAAAAGATGACTCAAGTACATTCCTCTTTGTGACTCGCTTCTTGTGCAGACTAAAGATAGAGTTCCTTACCAATCCGTTATAAAGCATGTGCCCTCACCAACAAAACAAAGAGAGAGTAATCAGTCTGCACACTCAAATATGAATTCAAGTATCATTTAAGGACTCAGCGCATGTTTGGCCAAGCTTCTAAAATCAGCTTATTTTGAGAAGTGCTTTTCTCAAAAGTACTTTTTAAAAAAGTGTTTTTTAATGAGAAGCAGTTTGTGTTTGGCTAAGTAATTTGAAAAGCACTTTTGAGCAGTAATTAGTGTTTGGCCAAGCTTTTGAAAATTGCTTCTAAGTGTATTTTTCTCAAA